ATTATTATGGTTTAATATATTTGTAATTTTCTATTTTTTGATAAAGAAAATTGAAATTCAAAGAGAACCGCACGTACAGTTCTTATTTTTTCCCATTTTTCTTTATTTTAAATTGTTTTTAGAACCTTCTCTATTTTCCATTTCTTTTATTTTAAAATATTGACAAGAACCGCACGTATAGTTCTCCTTGTTCCTTTTTCATTAAGTAAAATTTTAAATTCTAGAAATCATCAATGAGAACCGCACGTACGATCATTTTATAAACATTTAAGTGTTTTTCGACTCACGATCATGGAAATAAGAATTGTTTATTTAGATAGTCGGCGAACTCAATCAGTTGAATTGCACGTACGGTTAATCCATTTTCATTTTTCCACAAATAAATGTCTAAAAATTTATTTCAAGAAAATTTGATGTCTTGATAAAACACCTTTTTTCGCTAATAAATTTCTACATTTCTTATTTTAAAATATTGAGGTCAACCGCACTTAGGGTTCTCGTTTTTCCATTTTTAAACACATTTTTCTATGGATAAATTTCTAATAATTCATTTCCAATACAAACTAATTTATGTTAAGTATTTATTAAAATTTTAACATTTCAGTATTTTTCGACTTGCGGTCATAAAAATAAGAATTGTTTATTTAGTTATTCTGCAAACTCAATCAATTGAAACGGACGTACTGTTAATCTATTCACAATTAAATGTCCAAAATCTTGATGTAAAATATAATGGTTATATTTTTTCATTTTTATGGTCAAAGAATAGGAATCAAACTGTGGTTAAATATATTTGTAATTTTCCATTTTTGATTAAATGTACGGATAATCGCACGTAGGGTTCTCTTTTTTCCATTTTTTTAAACACATTTTTCCACTGATAAATTTCTAATAATTCATTTCCAATGAAAACTACTTTATTTATTAAGTATTCATTAAAATTTTAACATTTAAGTATTTTTCTAATTGCGATCATGGAAATAAGAATTGTTTATTTAGTTAGTCTAGGAACTCAATCAATTGAATCGCACGTACGGTTAACCTATATTCATTTTTCCAAGAATAAAATCTTGAAATTTATTTCAAGAGAATATGATGTCCTGATGTAACATGTAAAAGTTATATTTTTTCATTTTTATGGTCAAAGAATGGAAAACAAACGGTGGTTAAATATATTTGTAATTTTCCATTTTTGATTAAATAAAATTGAAAAATAAGAATGGAAATCAAGCCTAGGTTCTCTATTTTCCAATTTAATTAAACATATTTCCCCCCTGATAAATTTCTAATAATTTATTTCCAATAACAGAGCTAATAATTTTAATTAATTTATTAAAATTTTGACATTTAACTATTTTTCAATTTGCGGTCATAAAAAATAAGAATTGTTTATTTAGATGGTCACGGAATTAAATATGATCGTTCTTTTTCATTTTCTTTCACTTGAAAAATAGCTGATTTCCATTTTTTTATGTATTTTTAAAAATATAAAATTCTTTGTTTTTTGATGGCATAACGATTATATTTTTCATTTTTGTGGCCAAAGAATGGAAATCAAACGGTGGTTTTATAATTGTAATTTGCCATTTTTGATTAAATAAAATTGAAAATTTCCATTTTCCTTTATTTTAAAAAATGTCGAAGAGAACCACACGTAGGGTTCTCGTTTTTCCTCCGGGGTTAAACATAAATTTTCCATTTTTCATTATTGTGAAAACTATCAGAGAGAACCGCTCTTCTCGCAAAATATTGAAAACCCTAACCAAGCTCTGCACGAAATCTCAGTTTTAAATGTGAAATCGAAATCCTCAGGCGACCATTTAACTTTTTTCCTCTTGCAGCAGACACTTTCGAGGAAGAGAGGCCACATGACATCCAAGGTATGATGATTAACATCTGAATATGAAGATCCGATGCCTGCCTTTATTCTAAACTAACAATCTTCCTTTTTATCTTATTTTAGTTAATCGATAGTTTTTCCTTTTAACTTGTTCTCCATGTTTAATTTGGCTCGTTTGATGATGTTCAAACTTTAGATCTGTCGACTTTAGGTCTGTATTTGGTCGATTATTTTTTTGTTGGGATAGTTATTGTTTACTGGCAGTCAACTCTTGACGCAAAAATAAAACTAAAACTGATGTTCTGACTTTAGATCTGTATTTGGTCGATTATTTTTATGTCGGGATAGTTATTGTTTTATTGGCAGTCAATTCTTGACACAAAAATAAAATTAAAACTGATGTTCCGACTTTAGATCTGTATTTGATCGATTATTTTTTTGTTGGGATAGTTATTGTTTACTGCCAGTCAATTCTTGACACAAAAATAAAAATTAAAACTTTCGGCTTTCTTGTCCAGTTTAATTTTTGGGTATTCTTCTACTGATTTTAGGAAATCATCTTCAGCTAATAATATGATAGTTTCATTTATTTGAATTCTTTTGATTTTACACATTAATTTTGGAAGTTGGTAAATATTTTCATTCAACTTGATAATTACTGATTAATTTGCTTTTCATTCAACTGTTTTTTGCAAGGCACATTCTGGGAAGCTCACTTCCTCCCATTCAATCCAACAGACAAAAAGTATATCTCTAACATACATTGATCCTTCTGGTAAACTGCATTCAGCAAATTGTAGTTTTTTCATTTTGTTCCCCCTTCATTTTTTGAAAATTTTATGTAATGTTTATATTTAATCATTTGTGTAAATTGTTGCTATGTTTCTCCTTTTGATCATTTCTCCATTTGTTGCTATTCCATCATTTTGTTTAGTTAAAAGGTGCCTTATATTTAGACTGTTTTTGGAAGTGCATTTTTCAAAGTCTAAAAGCAATTTTTGGAGATCAAAAATTATTTTATTTAAAGTACGATGTTGTTTGGGAGAGGTTTTGAAAGTATAAATTGCACTTTATATGTGAACATGTTATGGAAGATTCATTGCGCATGTGTAAATCACAAGTAATAAATTATTAAAATTGGGCAGAAAGCAAATTTGCTACATACTTAGTGTGTGCTGTCCTTTTCTTCAAAGAATATTAGCATGAATGCCTTGTCTTTCAACTATGTTAGTGATTGATTATTGTGAATCTTTGCAAGTGCTCCATTGACAGTTGCTAAGGAAACAGGAATATGACTCGGGATGGGAACAAAGATGCACCCTTCTTCATCTTTGCTCAATGACCATAAGGATGATCTTTGCCCTTCGTTTTACTTAGCACTAAACTAAATAATTTATTGATGTTTTGGACATAGTAAGGTTGCTTTAAATATTTTGATATCTTTTTGGTATTCCAAAATATATATACTCTAAAGTGCTAACAATGACTACTTGTATAATGATCACAATGAAATGGAAGATGTCATTCTAGAGCTTAATTAAACTTTTCATCCTAATGTTTACCTCCACCATGCATAGTTAGATTCATGGATAATTAAGACTTCAAAGTTCAGTTTTTGATGTCATTGTAAATATCAAGTGTCAAATTAAAATCTTCATGTCATTGTACATATAAAGATCTAGGACTGTCATTTATTTATTTGGAGACCATGAATTGCCGAATTCAACAAATTTAATATTTTTACTTATTATTGTACATATAAAGATCTAGGACTGTCATTTATTTATTTGGCGACCATGAATTGCCGAATTCAACAAATTTAATATTTTTACTTATTATTTACTCTTTTGAAGCTATTTTTTTGGCAATAAATTTGACCCCACAACTTTTGAAGATAAATTCAGCCGTACTTAGGCCTTCAAAATTCGAAGTGTATTTATATGAACAATTTTTTCCCTTTTTGAATAGGCCGTAATTTAATCTGTCTTTACACAATTTTTTCATTAATTGATAAATTGGAGCATGAAGGAACGGGGAATGCCTAATTGACAGTCATTTTGTAGAAGTTTGTGCAATGTTATTGTACATTCTTTGTCATTTATAATGGATCATAAGTTTCATATTTTATTCTTTTGTTATTAATTCATTTCCAGGTGGTGGACTTGATGTAGTTTTTTATACCTAGTCTTTTAAAGTTGGGAAAATTTTACATTTTAACATCTCAAACTAGTCTTCTAAGCAAGCTCTTCAAAAGAACAAAGAAGGCTGCTCTCAGAGGTTTTTGGGTAGAAAGCAAATTTGCTACATACTGTAGTGTGCTGTCCTTTTCTTTAAAGAATATTAGCATGAATGCCTTGTCTTTCAACTATGTTAGTAATTCATTATTGTGAATCTTTGCAGGTGCTCAATTGACAGTTGCTAAGGAAACAGGAAGACGACTCAGGATGGGCACAAATATGTACCCTTCTTCATCTTTGCTCGATAACCATAAGGATGTTCTTTGCCCTTCGTCTTACTTAGCTCTAAACTAAATAATCTATTAATGTTTTGGACATAGTAAGGTTGCTTTAAATATTTTGATATCTTTTTTGTATTCGAAAATATATACACTCTAAAGTGCTAACAATGACTACTTGTACAATGACCACAATGATACGGAAGATGTCATTCTTGAGCTCAATTAAACTTTTCATCCTAATATTTACCTCCATGCATAGTTAGATTCATGGATAATTAATACTTCAAAGTTCAGTTTTTAATGTCATTGTAAATATCAAGTGTCAGATTAAAATCTTCATGTCATTGTACGTATAAAGATCTAGGACTGTCATTTATTTATTTGGAGGCCATGAATTGCCGAATTCAACAAATTTAATATTTTTACTTATTATTTACTCTTTTGAAGCTATTTTTTTGGCATAAATTTGACCCCACAACTTTTGAAGATAAATTCAGCCGTACTTTGGCATTCAAAATTTGAAGTGAGGATTATTAATATGAACAATTTTTTCCTTTTTCGAATAGGCTGTAATTTAATCTGTCTTTACGCAATTTTTTCATTAATTGATAAATTGGAGCATGAACGAACGGGGAATGCCTGACAGTCATTTTGTAGAAGTTTGTGCAATGTTCTTGTACATTTTTTGTCATTTATAATGGATCATAAGTTTCATATTTTATTCTTTTGTTATTAATTCATTTCCAGGTGGTGAACTTGATGTAGTTTTTTATACCGGCTTTTAAAGTGGGGAAAATTTACATTTTAACATCTCAAACTAGTCTTCTAAGCAAGCTCTTCAAAACAACAGAGAAGCCAGCTGTCAGAGGTTTCATTTTATAGTTCTATTTAGTAGTAAATGACTGTGAAGAATGGCATGGGGTAAGATAAAGGCAAAGGTTCAAAGGAGCAGTTCGTACACATTTTCTTGCAGCAGACCACATGATAAGGGCAAAGGTTCAAAGGAGCACTTCTGAGGGAGAGAGAGGCCACATGACATCCTAGGTATGATGATTAACATCTGAATATGAAGATCCGATGCCTGCTACTTTATTCTAAACTAGCAATCTTCCTTTTTATCTGCTTTTCATATTACTTAATCAATAGTTTTTCCTTTGAACTTGTTCTCCAGGTTTAATTTGGCTCGTTTGATGAAGACAAAGTTAAGTTTTACTGTTATAACTAATTAAATTTCCTTTTCACTATGACAATCTTTTTTGTAATAGCTACAAGCTCCGTTTATCAATATAGTTGTATGCACTCTAATTTTTCGGTTAATGATAAAGCCAATAAGGTTGAGCCTCTTTAATGCATCAGCATTGGAATTTCCTAGAACCACAGGGGGACCCTACATATATTATTTGGTCACGAATGAGGTAGTACAATTTTTTCTTTTATATCTTGCTTCATGTTTCCTTTATTTAATTTTAAAAAACTATGTGTCTCTGAGTTGTTTTTGAATTGCAGTCTCTTCTTTCCGGTGACATTAAAATCCTGAACTTGGAATTTTGCAATCAAAATTAGCAAATGATACTGAACTATTCTTGGTCAATAAAGGTTGCTACTTTTGGTCGATAGAGAATATTCTTGTGGTGAAAAGGAAAATATAGATAAAAGTAAAGGATACAAAGTTTTTCCTTGAACCGTCAGAAAGTGTTTCTCGTGCGTAAGGACAAAGGACAAAAGAAAGGCGCTAAAATAAGAATAAATTCTTTGAATTAGGTGGGTCCATTGAATTCAATACTTCACGGGAACACTAAATTTGGTTGGTAAAATGAATTGAATTGTGCTTCCTGGTTTCCACTCCAATACTTATGAGGACCTCTAAATATGGTTGTTGCTTTCCTTTATTTAATTTTTAAATAACTATATATATGGATTTATAATATTTTATGTATGGATTTATTCCAAAGAATTGGAGATAATACCTCTCACTGCACATCACATGTTATAATTACTCTCAAGCCCCTCCAGTAGTGATTTGATTATATTAATACGTTGAGTTATAAGATTTTGGGGCATTTTGGGTCCTTTATCTAATTTTTAAATAACTGTCTCGCTAAGTTATTTAAAAATAACATGATGTTTTTGGATTGCACGTTTTGGGTTGTTTATCTAATTTTTAAATGACATGTTTTTTTTGGATTGCCCGTTTTGATCTTTCTTCCTTTCTTTAGCAGAGGCATTGTTCCATGGAAAAGGCAATCGACATTAAAATCCTGAACTTGGGGAATTGCAGTATGATGCAGTCTCTTCTTTCCGGTGACATTGAAATCATGAATTGCACAAGAAGTTCTTTCGGTTAAAACGCCGTTCGACTTGGAGGACAATAAAGATAAGTCTTGTCGTTACGGCAACTACCAGCAAAGAAGAAAATTATGCTTCTATCAATACTCTTCAAATTACTACTTATCGATTGAATGGCCACAATTTTTTATAATGGTCTCAAGCTGTAAAAATATTTTTGAGGAGTATTATCTTAATGGTTCTGTCATCTGTGAAAACTCCAATGGAAGGAGAGAGAATCCAGTTACAACACATGGGATGCTGAGAATTTTATGTTAATCGCATGGTTGATCTAACTCGATGGAGTCGGAAACAGGACACAGTTACATGTTAAGGAAGTTTGGGAAGCTGTCCAAGAAACATATTCAAATTGGGGCCGGCGTGTAAAAGATTTTAAAATTACTAAAGATTTCAACAATGTATGTGAAATAGCAACAAAAGGCCAAATAATTTTGTTTAAATAAGTACGAAGTATAGCAATAGATTAGCGACAACCATTTGTAAATTCAAAATTTATAACAATGTTTCCAATTTTTTTAAAATGTTCACAATAGATTTGTGACTAAAAAGTTCCCAAACAAATTCCATGTCAGATTTTTCTAAGGGTGCGTTTGATTACAAGTAGGAAAATTACATGGAAAGAAAATGAATTCCAAGGAATTGAATTACCTAGAAATTGTTTTCATGGAAATTGTAAATTATTGTGTTTGATTGTATAAATTTTTCACATGGAAAATGTTGAAGTAAAAGTATTTTTTGATGTTCGTTTGACTTTGTTTTACGTGGAAATTGTCAATTTCAGGGATATCCTCTTTTATAATTATTCCTAAAATTTGTTCCCATTGCCAACAATTAAAAAAAAATAAAAAAAGCAAAAAAAAAATAAAAAAAAAGGTGGAAAACCAAAAACCACCTATCCCCTAGGAAAAAAAAAGGTGGAAAATCACGCTTTAAGGTGTTGTACCTAGAAATTCATGGAAAATCAATTCCCTGGAAAATTTTGTCAATCAAACAGGCCAAAAGTGGAAGTTGGAATTCGAATTCCAAGTTCCATGGAAAATTTCGTGCAATCAAACGGGGCCTAATAGTAGTTTTGATGTTTCTGATTCTGTCTTTGTTTAATTGTTTATCAGCATCCAAGCCGATTATTATTTTATATGTAGATATCTTGTGTAGAATCATGCTACAGCTATATAATTATTGACATAATGTCACCTGACACTTCCTAATTGGTATGTTTTATACACAATCAACTTTTTCATCAAATCACATTTTGTCAACTAACATTATGTCTCTCAATCTATGAACTACTTTTTGTCGAAGTGACATAACCCTCTTGTGAAGGATTTTTAATTAAATGTGAAAATTACCATTTAAGATTAAAAATTATGAGAGCCCCAATTACAAATCATTAGCTAAATATAACAAAATAATCCAAGTAAATTTACTAAGATTGAGATAAGTTCCATTTATTACAAAGATAGAAAAAAAGGTAAATTGCAGCAATGATCGTGAACCTTTTCGATTTTTGCAGACTTTACTCTAATCTTCAATTTGTGCCACCCACAGTCACAAACCTTTCAAAAATATGCACATGAAGTCCAAATGGATGGAAACTATCCAATTGACCGTTAGTTGACCAGAAAAGTCAAAATTAAATCAATTTTGACCAAATTAGAAAGGGTAAATTGGTACTTTATATTTTCCTTACATTAACGTCCCGTTTGGTACCCATTTTTTTCAAAATACATTTTTTTCTCTCTTCTTTTCAACCATATTTTTATTTTATTAAAATAATATTACACGTAAATCAAAAACTTTTCCTTATTTTTCAACACACGTTTCCCATCAATTTACTATTCAAAAATACATTTTTACATAGAAACGTCTCCCAAACACCATTTAAATAAGTTAAAACATTAAATTAACAAACTAAAAAATAAAAATAAATTTTAAAAAAATAAACATCTTGTCCAGTTAAGCCTCCTTCCCCAAAATTAGTCTACTACCATTGCTCGCTGCTGTCGACAACAGCCACCACCATCGGCCGAGCGGCCTACAACAACTACCACCACCTGAATCTCTTTCCCCAAAATTATTCTACCAATGTCGTCCATCGTTGCCTACAACAACCACCACCACTCAACTCTCCTTCCCCAAAAACATCTTGTCCACCACCAGCCAACCATCATTCCCCAAAATCAGTCCACCATCACCCATCGACGCCTACAATAGTCACCACCAACCAACTCCTTTCCCCAGAACATCTTGTCCACAACTAGTCAACCCTCCTTCCTCAAAATCAGTCCACCAACATCGCCCGTCGTCACCTACAACAGCCACCAGTTTACCAACATCGCTCGTCGTCTATCTTGCAGGATGAAGTTGATATTGTCACTTACTATAAAATCCAAAACCCAAATAGAATAATCAAATGAAAAAGCAAAGAAATTGAGATCTAAGATGGGAAAATTGGAAGGATCTTGTTGGGTTTGATAGGCTGACTCTGGGATCGCTGTCGGGGTGATGTCGGAGTTAGATTGGCACTGTTGATGGTTGATTTTTGAGTAGGGATGAGAAAGAGAGGTGGGTGCTAGCATTTTGTTTTTGTTTTATTTGGGTACTAGCATTTTTTTTTATTTCTTTTCTCTTTTCTCTTTTATTTTTGGTTTTTTTAAATATGTACATAATAGCAAAATTACTATTTTACCCATTTCAATCTGGTCAAAATTAATCAAAATTCACCTTTCTTGGTCAACTAACAGTCAATTGGACAGTTTCCATCCATTTGGATCTTAGGTACATATTTTTGAAATGTTTGGAATTATAGTTGGCACAAATTGAAGGTTAAGATAAAATTTGCAAAAATTGAAAAGATTTGGGGCTGCTGCTGAAATTTTCCCTACAAAAAAAATGGTAAAATAATTAATCCCTTTTTACAGTAAATTCATTTTTGGCGTTTTTACAATTTTTTTGTGAATGGCACCAGATAGTTGCATCATTTTATTTTTTTTATTTTTTATTTATTTTTATATATTTATCATCATCATTGTAATTATGTTGTTGACACCTTTGGTTTACTTCTTCTTGTGAATACTGAAACTGCAAGATATGTACTTTAAAAAAAAAAAATCAAATAAAAAAATTACAATTTTCATGACGACTAAAATAAACACTATCGAGAGAATAAATTTATGATGATTATGGCAACAGCCTTTAACCATTATTTCCAAATTGTAAGGCCTTTGAAGGTCATAATTGGTGTCATTAAAAATTTATACTTTCTCTTACAAAAATCATAACAATCCTTATGTGACGACAATTTCATAACTGGCAATACAACAAGTGTTTAAGGATTTCAATCTCTCCTTTTCAAGTTCCCATATTGTCAAGAACAAATTAACGTGTTCCCATTGTATAAAATTTTAAAGTCCATTAGTTAGGAGATTTTAGACTATTGCATTCACTGCTCGATGTGAACCAGTGGCTACAGTTTCGTGGATGAAATTTCCAGTTGAATTTTGATAAATCTATTGCATTTATTGCTTGAAATTTAAGGTTTTCTTGGGATTTTTTTCCCCCACCGATTTTGATTGAATTTGAATGGCACCAATTATGAGGGGTTAGAAAAATCGATGCTTACTAGTTTTTTGTACATTGGTTTAGATGGTTTAAAAATCAATCAAGATCGGTGTAGTATAATTTTGACCCAAATCTCAATACTGTTTTAGCCAGTCTTGGTGCTTTTTGCATAGGGAAAAGGCCTATTCCCACCAAATCGGTGGGTTTTGGCCGTTTTTTATATTCTTTTCTAATTTTACATTTTATAAATTAATTATTTTCAATCAACATATTTTGTTCAAGAATAACTTGTACTATATATATATATATATATATAAATTACTTTAAGTAAAATATTACTTATAAGATAAAATTTACTTTGTGTAAAAAATTTGTTTATAAAGTAAAAATACTACCAATAAGACAAAAATTCACTTATAAATTATGAAAAGTTACTTATGAATAAAAAATTCATTTATGTGTAAAAATTATTTAACTTATATGTAAAAAAATTACTATAAGTAAAATATTAATTTTGAGTAAACAATTGTCAAATAAGAAACTATAAATTAAAAATTTCACTAAGGTACATATATATCATTTTTTTTAATAAAACTTTCAAATAGGAGGATATTAAACTCCCAAACACAGATTGATTGTTTTAAAAATTGTTAATGTTAGGGAAGATTTGCCCATGATAATGAAAATAGCAAAATTTGGATAAAGATTTCACTCAAAAATAATGCGGCTCTACTATAAAATAAGAATTGAGGATTACAAGATGAGTTTCAAATATGAGTTACAAAGTATTTTAAACTCTCCATCTCTCTAAAAAAACAAACTCTACCCATCTCAAATCCTCACTTAGTGCTCAATTGTTTCTGGCATACATTCATTGAATAAACATATCTAATGAACACATCCTAAGGCATATTTATATATTTTGTAAGGCAGTTTATCATTTGACAAATACAACTTGAATTTCTCTAAAAAGTTGAAAAATCAAAGATGAACTTGATCAACAAATAAGCTTTCTTTCCTTGCTTGACTTGGTAGATTTACTTGTTTGAATTTTATTCTTAGTGGCAAAGAATAATTTGATAACTACAACTTATCCTATAACGAGGTAAAATTCAACTTTGCTTCCACCTCTATCATTTTCAACCTTATATCTAAAAAGTAAAATTAAAATTTGTCTCCACTTCTAACAATCTCCCACTTGGAAACAAATATTAGGTCTCAGTGGAACTCTGCCTTCATCCTCAAGTACTAAGACCAACTGAATTTGAACAAGACTTCAGTTTCTCGATAGTAACTATTTTTGTTAACATATTTGTAGGATTTTTTGTAGCGTGGATCTTCTCCAAACTGAAGAGCGAACAAACAAAATGGTATTCAATGTCAATATGTTTCGTTCTCAAGTGAAATGCAGAATTCTTTGCAAGATGTATAACACTTTGACTATCACTATACAACTTGTAGTCATCAAGAATCTTGCCCAATTCGCACAAGAAATTTTGAAACCATACCATTTTCTTACAAGCTTTTGTCATTGCTACATACTTTGCTTCTGTTGTAGATATGGTTATAATATTTTGTAACTGAGAGACCCTGCTAATTGTAGCACTTCCTAGAGTAAACA